TTGACACCGTTTTCATCTCCAGGCCATCTGCCGCATTATCACAGACTTTTTCACTGGAGAACAGGTGGCAATCACTATCAGTGTCTTTATGCACCTTACTGTATAAGTATCTTGCTCGAGTCTCCACCAGCAATGTGTGAATAGCCAACTCTGACAATTCAGATCCCGACCTCGAATTCCTGTCTGAGTACCTGTTAACTCCGTTTTCATTAAGTGGTCTTCTAAAGATGAGTCGAACGTAGAGCATATCTCAACTTCAGATTTTGACGTGCATGATCTACTCATCCATCTAAACCCCCGGACAAAATTTTGGTCCACCTAGTTTTGTCCATCTTCCAATCCGTTTTCTTCAGAGTTCGACTCACCGGACAGTTTTTCTTGCTCCGAGTTTTCCGACTCTGCTTTTATTAGTCCTTGATCAGGCAACTAAAAAGTGACTGCCTTCTTCTGAGTCCTGAACTCTTATTCCCTCATCTTGTACAATTTTTTCTTTAAAACGCTTTGAGGAATTGCGGAAACTAGTAGCTGAACTACTGTTCTACAGTCCCTTCAATTTCCTTGTGTTGGCGTCTTGATGGCTTTACCCACACTTTCTCGCTGACCGTCAACGATTCTATGGCTGCTGCACATTCAGGATCATCTCTAGTACTTTTTTGCCTAATAATCAAATCACCTCTGGTGCGACCTGCACCGTTTTATCTTAAATGATGCTTATGTTCATGCGAGAGTGTTCCTGTTGAACCAGGTTAGATTGTAGCAACAGATTCAAAGGCTCCAGGTCCTTCTTGGACAAGATCTGAATCTCGGCCGCTTTCTCAATTGGTAATTCACGATGTCCTGGTATAGGATACCCTGACTTGTCCAGCCACCTCATCAAGGGAAGTGCTTGATAAGTCCCACTATCTTAAAACCAAAATCGTTCCTTACTTTCCACCTGATTGGCCTGCTTCTGTTCCAACCTTTCGTAAATTTCAGTTTTGTTGCTCAGGCTGTCATCATTCTATTGCTTTCAGGCATCATGTGCTCGATTATCAAATGGAAGCCAATTAACCTGACTATCCATCAACCAATGTAACTCTGGTTCAACGAGTACGTTTAAAATACCGATAAGGCTCGGTTGTCCACTCGCAACTTAAAGGGAGCGATCCTCAATTAGGCGCGATAATTCTCCTTGAACGTGCCTACAGCAAACATTTCTGCTATTGGCGCACCGTATATCATCTCAATGTCGCTCAATTCCTTACTGCCGTATAGAATGGAACGGAGAAATGTTCACACATTCCATTCTTGCTCTTGATGCAGTATTCCGGAAATGGCTACCACTGAAGGATCAGTGTCGAGAACGCAGATTCCTTTCTCCATTGGCATGCCTTGAAATGGCGCTTCGCTCAGCTCCCGCTATGCATTCTCGAAGGATTCCTGAGATCTTTCTTTCCATTCGAAAGTCTTCCCTTCGTTGCGCATCAGTTGCTGCATCGGGTAGACTTTGTCTGCGTATCCTTTTATGAACTCTCGATAATAATTCGCAAATTCTAGAAAGCTCATCATCTGCGTGTCCGTTTTGGGTGCCTTCTATGTTAACACGGCATGCTTATCTACCATTCTTCTCAGGTAGTTTATTGAGTCCCTAAGGATCTCACATTTCGAGTGTTTGCATTTCAAGCCAGCTCGCTTCATGCAGTCAAAGACTTCATCAAGTCTGTCAATGTGGTCTATCTGGTGGGTTTCGCTATCACTACGTCATCAACATAGCACATCACGAGATTCCAATACTTCTTTGTTATGCTGGTCAAAGCCTGAGCCATCATTCTTTAAAAGGTCGCCGTCGCATTGCACAAACCGAAGGGCATCCTCTTCCACTGGTACAAGCCTAACTCAGATGCGGATCCGGTCCTTTCTCTATCCTGTTTCCGAAAGGAAACCTGCCAGTAGGCAGAACCCAGGTCCAGTGTGGTATCGCCAAGTTTCCAAGTTTCCAAGTTTCCAGAGGCTTCGCCAAGTGTGGCATCGCCAAGTTTCCAAGTTTTCAGAGGCTTTCGTCTATGCGTGCTATTGTTTAAGCGTCCCTTATGGTCACCGCGTTAAGGTAGCGAAGTTCGCAGCAGAAACTTAGCTGTCCTTCTTTCTTTTTGGCTATATGAACCCCACAAGCCCAAGGTGACTTCGAGGTTTCTATCATCTCGTATTTGAGCAGCATTTCTATTTCCGCTCAGAACGCTTCCGATTTATGAGGTGTTATGCGTCTCGCTTCCTCCCTGTGGGGAACGGCGCCTTCTTCTTGCTCGATCTCGTGCTCGACGAAATTACAGCAACCAATATCCGCTTTATGTTTTGAAAAAACGTCTGCTTTCCGGTTTAAAACCGCTCTTAGCAACTCAAACTCTTCACTATCTTTTCTCTTAATATCAGTTTCTGGCAAAATTGGTTTGTTAGACTAGGGGCATTCGGGAAAATTCGAGCAGCTCGATAAGCCGTCATTTGTTTCAGATTTCAATGAAAATACTTTGTTTGAAGATATCAATTAACAGTTTTCACTGTTTTCTTCTCGCACTATAAGTCATGCTGAAACTCCTTTGCTCGACTCGAAGATCTATCTCTAATTCAGCTAATGTTTTTTTTTAAACTATTTGTTTTAAATTTTGTTTTCGCAAACTAGTTATTTTGAAACATTTAACCACTTTCGTAAAACATCCAAAGCTTTCCTTCCTTGATCCTTGTAAGGCCTTGTCAACAAACTGATATCTTATTCAGAGAGTGTTTAAGAATGCAACAGAATCACAAATAAGAAATGTTGTTTTTCAGACATCTCTTCTCGTTCATCTATTGCAGCCTGTTTTTGTTTCGAAATTTTAGGTTTGTTTATTTTTGTTTAAGTCAAAGTTTTCTCATCGCTTCTGAAAAAAACCAATAAACAACTTATATATCTCCGAAAATAAAAGTAAATGAGCAGTCACATTCGGAGGCAGAATTTGCAACCTCTGAGAGTATCCTGACAGCCCCTAATTACAAATTGAGAGTTTTGAATTGAAGGGGGACTTTTGAAGTTTCAACCTATTTTGTAAACTACATTTGAATCCCTTCCAGTCGTTCTAGGATATGAAATATTTCAGAAATCCTCTAGTTTTTAAAGCGTGAATTTAACTCAGTAGAATGGGAGCGTTTTTTAAAATGAAAACATCAAAAAAAATGTCAAATCTAGGAAAACAGAGACATTTCAGCAATCACATATGTAAAATTTGTAAAATCTGAGACTACTTTGGCAGCACCCGACTATAAAACACCCAGCTATAATCAGCGATTGCATTGACAGCACTCAACTACAGGGTTCAAAAACAGAAATTAAATTTTCAAACTGAATTTTTCTGAACATTTAAAAATCAGAAAAAAAAAAATAAGTTAGAAACTCAAATTATTTGATCAGTCAGGGTTGGTAATTTATGTTTTTGTAAGTTTTTTTTTGGTCCTTTGAAAAAATTGAAAAGGTCACCAAAGACGTAATAACTCGAAACCTCAACACTTGTGGATGTTAGAAGTCATAAATGGCGGAAAAGAGTTCAACGCCCGAGAATACGCTGAGATCTCCCAACTACAGGGTTGGAAAATTCAAGTTGGAATTTTTTTTGATTGTTTTTTGATAGTTTTTTTAAAGATAAAAACGTCATATATAAGAATATAAAAAACTTTGAGCAGTCAATTTTGAAGGCAAGAGTGGCAACGCTTGAGATGAGCCAAAAAACGACTCACTTATGTGATTGTAATTTTACACTTTGTGGCACCTTTCAACTAAGTTATTCAAACATTTTTACAAAAACATATAAAAACATTATATCACCGAAACAAAAGCAGTTCTGCAGTCACATTTTGAGGCGAGATTTGCATTCGCTGAGAGTAACTTGACAGCACCCAAGTACACGTTTGAGAGTTTCGGAGCACAATTACCCAAACTAAATTTACTGAAACTAAAATGCAATATACGAATTAGCTTAGGCATGAAAAATATTACATCGAAAAAAAACTTTAACCTGGCGAAATAGTAAAGCATTTATTTAGACAAATGAAAGTTAGATAAGTAACAATTTCGTTCGCATTTATCACTAACTATTTTTTATTTATCTAACTTTGATTCTGAACTTAACAGTTATGGAACCGAAAACATATCAGCGAATTAGAACAGCTGAGATTCTTCTTCAGATTTCATCCTGAGTTTAAAAAAATTAGCACTAAAGAGTTCCATTATTTTTTGGGTATCAGTTTTGTAGTTTATGATTCAAAATTTCCTTTTGAAACTTCTGTTCCAGATTGAATAAATCGCATTAAATTGAACTTATCCCTCCGCAAAAGACTGGTACTAAACAGTATTTTATACAAATATAACACGTAACTTATCAGTTTGTTTCCGTTTTTTTTTCACTCTGCGTTATCTGTCTTCTTGTGCTGTGTTCACTCAGTGTCCCTTCGTGCAGCTTTTGACTCCTTTTCTTTCAAGTTATTTTTTTTTTGCGGTGAGTGCTTCCAAAGCCCTGTCGTTCCTTCAAGTTGTGTTGCCCATGTTTCCATCGCCTGATTGCCTATCTCTGCAAGTTGTGTTGCCCTGCTCCCATCTTTGACTTGTCTATCTGATCAGTGGTCTCTCTCAAGTTGTGATTTTTTTTAAAAAACCTCACATCAAATCTTAGTTTGTCTGTTTGAATAATCAATCAATCTTGACTCTTGACTTGTAACTGGTATTTGTGATTCTGGGCCCATAATCTTTTAAGATTAATAAAGCGACAAACGGTTTTCTAAAAAAGAGCTAATGCATGAGAATTTAATGGAAAATCCAGAAGTTATTTTGAGTAACTTTATGTGATAAATCACCCGCACAAAGTTGCTCGAATCAAAGACTAAAGGTCATTCTGACTGGCTAGTTTCAAAAAAAGTAGGGAAATGCTGTTTCTGATTGATTCGAATAAAAAATTCAATTTTAGTTCAGTTAAGATAAAAGTCACTAATACCTTTAGGAATCTGGAGTGGATGTTCCAAAACGTGCACTGACAGTTGGGGTGGGGACAGTAATGGATGCTTCTGAGGTGATGATTCTCATCACCGGTCACCACAAGGCACTCGCTTTACACAAAGCCATCGAACAAGGTTAGATGGAAGACCTTCCCGAGTCGATATTTTTCACCTAAATTGAAGCAAGATTTGAGCAGTTTGAGCGGTTTTTTTTAGACAATTACGCTCAAAATCTTGCTTTAAAATGAGCGGTTTGAGCGGTTTTTGAACGGTTTATCTAAGAAAACCGCTCAAAAACCGCGCAAGAATTGAACGGGTAACCAGGGGAATCATATAGTAACCATGGGTAACCATGGGCAACCATGGGTAACCAGGGGAAATATATAGCTCCTGATTTAAAGTACGTACCTGATTTCATAAACTAATGAGGAAGTCTGCCCTGGATTCATCTGTGAAGATACTTCGATTGTTGCAAAACAACAATAATTGCAGTTCAATGCAAGACATGGATGAAACGTGAGGTTAAAATTAGGACTTTTGAAGTTTCAACAGTTAAAACTTTTCCAGTCCTTTAAAAACCCTAATTTTTAAAGCTTGAGTTTCATTCAGTAGGGGCGTAAGATTTTTTTACAATTCATTACAATTTTTCAAAACTATTCAATTCGCACCACTCACTGAAAAACAGAAACCTGGCCATATTTTCAAAAAGCAATTGATGCCAACAAAAAAAGCCTATCAAATATGAGACTAAACTTACGGCCACCAAATCTAATTTTTAGTCCCATATTTGAAAGTTTTTATGCTGGCATCACAATTGATTTGAAGTTTTGGTTATCGCGTTACTTTCACGGCAACTAAATGTAACTTTTAAAGATATACGACAAACCGCAATCAAAATAATCTAAAAATCATCATTCAAGCAGAAGCGCGTAATTGCTCACAGCTGAGAGCACCCTGACAACGACTTCTAATACCAGGACCAAGCCTATGGCGTTCCCACCGCCCTTTAGTTTTCCAATAAGTTTTACTCCCCCAACAGCTCAAAAAAACTAATAAAATTCCAACCAACAAGCTTGGATCCAAGGTTTTTCAAACACTTAACTTAAACCAGAAAAAAAGCAATTCCTCTCATCTCAAAAACTGTCTTACTGTTGTGAATTGACTCTCATCCAATCTGAAATACTGCCCTCATGGTTTGAATTCTTTCTCATCTCATGTCGAATACTACCCCCGTGAATTAAAATCATTCTCAACTAACCCACCAATCCCAAATAAAGGTTACAATCGGTACTTGTATTTTCATCGGTCCCTAAATATAAAGAAGTGAAGTTTGAGAAAACTTTTCGGGTGATCGATACTAAAGGTTGACATACAACGATTTATTTTAACCAATGTTTAAATATTTGTCCGTAGACTCCGATGATAAAGATTAAGTCTTTGCTTTCAAATTCCGCGTTGGTATGAATAATTCCAAGCTCTTGCTTTTAATTGCTCAACATCGGTAAAAAACAAAACTTCGGAATTTACGTACAAATTTCGGAATCGGCTTAGAAAATTTGCGAACTTTGAGATCACCTACATTTGCGGAATCCACGTATATTTCGCGGATTTCTTTTACAGTTTTGAATGCAGAACAACTAGCTATATTCGCTTATTGCGGATTCTGCAACAAAACAAATGTGCCGACAAAGTTTACGTTACAAGTATTTGTACGCGGAACATTTTTGAACCTGTTTAAATATTTGTCTCTGGAATCCAGGAACATACAGACATAAGATTGTGCGCATATCCGGTGCACTTTGGCCTTGTAAAGGATCACGACTGAAACTTTTTCCAATTAACTAAAACTAAATTGTTTAAATGAATATATGTTAATCTGTTAATCAAAACAATCATATTGGCAATTAACAGGTAAACCAACTGAAATGCATTTTAAGTGATTTGATCCCAATCAACTTTGAAGTCACTTCGATTAGGAACGATTTTTGAACGGGAGTCAGTCGCTGGCCTTGCCTACTTGTGTACAAAAAGAAAAAACGGCGCTCATTGCTTAAACTCATTGCTTAAAATAACTATCATAAAACCGATTAAAAAAATTGCAATTGAAATTTCGCTATATTTTTCGAATTGTGGGCAACTATATCTTTCAGATGGTTTTAAAAACCTTCCTCAAAAAAAGAAAAAATAATCACTTTAAAGTTTAAATTCAGCTTCGACATATATTTCAGGGGTCAATCATATGTGGACTGTATCTGCACTTCAACAGCATCCAGGAGCCTTGTTCATATGCGATGAGAGCTCAACAGACGAGCTGAGAGTTGGAACTGCGAAATACTTTAAGGGACTGATGGAGGAACATGATAAACTCATTGAATGAGAAAATTAATTCTTCATTCAAAATGAAAAAGGTAGTCCGCCGCTGTCCAAAAGGCAGAGACTGTTCCGACTACCAAATACACAAGTTTGAGTTAGAAAGTTCAATTGATGAAGAAAGAGAAAAAAAACTGTTTACAAAACTCAATTTTTTCTTAATTTGAGGTTTTATGGTTAATTGCTAATTGTTGGCAATATCAGTGACCTTGGGCAAATTGATCGAACAGGAAGGTAGCATGTTAGGTTATCTAAATTTTGGAAACAACTTTTTTGCATGAAAATCAGTCATTAACAAAAATCCGGCAACAAAATGAGCATTTTAAAATTAACTAATTTCGATTAGAATCGCTGATCGAAAAAAATTGCCACAATTTGGCATATGTTAAAAAACGTAGCACCAAAAATTTTATGAACGCAATGCTTAAACGATTTTTATAGTGGACAAAAAAATATGTTATAGACAGTGTTTGAGCTAATTTTTAATCCAATTTCTGGGTAAATTTCATTTTTAATTTGGTCTTTTTTGTGGTCTTTTTATTTGGGTCAAGGTCAAATGTCTCGAAGTAGCTTTCCTGTAGCTTTCTTCCCTTTCCTGTTCCAAGCCTTCTGGGTTCTTTCCACGAAAGGGCAGTTCATCGTATTCCTTTCTTTCTTTGGTATAAACTTCTTCAGCTATCACTCAGCTTAGATATCCTAGACTTGTCTATACTCAACTTAATCTTTTACTAGTTGTTGCTCATTCACTTGATTTGCTTATGATAGTGTTGTTGTTCAACAACAAATTATAGTTAGACAACACAAAAATGTACTGGAGTTTAAACTAATATGTGATCGCGAATCTGATTAAATTATCACGGTACAGTGTATCTTCAATTTAAGCACAGCACTGAATCATGGATCATGTCGGATGTCAAGATATCTAAAAGATAGTGTACTCATTGTCCATTTGTTGAAATAAAAATTTATTCAGTTTCAAAAAAGAAGAGAAAAAGACTGTATGTGCGTTGCGATCGGTCTGTCGCAATATGATAGGCCAACTGGTTTTTTCCCAAAAAAGAGCTATCCTTGTTTAGTGCCGAACTAATCTGAAAAAACCTAAAGGCAGTTATCTTTCTCTAATTTGGGCGACTGTTGCACCCAGCGAGTTTTTTATTACCTGTCTGCTTTCGGATTGCCCGAGCTACACCTTTACACCGTGGCTCCGACATCTTTGGGGCTGCAGTAAATAGTTCTTGAGGTTCCTATTTCCAGTTCCCTGCTCCACTTGGGTAGCCAATTTGGACTGTACTTCGGAACAAACATTCACTAAATTCGTTACAAAAGAGGCAAAACTAGAAAAAGATTAGATTGTAAAATGGATTGTAGAATAATGGATTTTAAAAACAAACAACAAAAAAGAATTGAAAGTGATTACAACATGGTTTTTCACGGGTGGAGGTGTCGGCGGGGTGTCCGGGTAGAAGAGGAGTATCGCGTCTCAACGAGCGTTTCTCTAAAATCCCGTCCCGGGCCTTCTACTTACAAGTGTACCATTATGAGTGTGGGTACCAGCCCGTGGTGTGCAAGCTTACATGTAGTACAAGCATACATAGACTATAATTTTAGTGTTAATTCCCGGCTCCTGAATTCATCGCGTGTGTTGATCTTCGGCCTCGCCCTCCAAATATGCGACGCCTCTAGTGTCAGTAGCCTATGAGTGTTGGCTGTTTGGTGTACATCGACCCTCGCGGTTAATTGTCGGACTGTCTGGCCGACATTTAGCCACGAGGGTCGATGAACACCGCAAAAGGGACTCCCCAGTAGGACAACACTTGTTAGAATGTAATAAGGAGATGGATGGTACTGCTGAGCTGAAGTCAGAGATTATAGACCAAACAGCCAACACTCATAGGCTACTGACACTAGAGGCTTTGCATATTTGGAGGGAGAGGCCGAAGATCAACACACGCGATGAATTCAGGAGCCGGTATTAACACTAAAATTTTAGTCAACATGACTAAAAGTTAAAAACCTGACATTTCAGAATTAAAAGTATTCCCATATCGAAATTTTATAACCATGAAAGAACAAAAAACTAAAAAATCTCAGAAATTTACAGGAAAGTGTTATTCATGATTACGTAATTATATTATCTAATTACAGTTGTTCAATTTTGATTGGTTAGAAAGTTTTAGAGCCTTTTTAGACATGTTTCTCATTTTTCAGATCTTTGATCGTTTTGTAAATATTGTAAAAATTTTTAATCCTGATGATGCACAAAATGTGCGAAAACATTTGAATTAACATTTTAAATTTCTTATAAACATTATGAGTGTGCCATATCACATGAAACTATTAAATAAGTTTACCACAACAATCTTAATCTGGAATAGTTTTTTTTCCATAAAGTGTTCTCACTATACTTTTTCAGGTTTTGCAATTGTTGCCTTTTGCTTTTTACACTCTCGGTAAGCAAAGGTTATTGAATGGGATGCTCTGTTTTCTCCATATAACATCTAGTCATAGAAAGCCGTTTTTGTTACACTTGAAATAACTTTTTCTGTTTGCGGTTTGGTTTCAGTTTCAAAGAAGATTGTTTTTTTTTAACGGCTAGGAGGCGCGTTTTAAAGTTAATATTGTGCTGAAAAACCAGTGTTTGTGTTTAAATGTACAGAAAATGAATAATAATGGAAAGTCTGGTCATGGTGGAATGAGTTTATTAGCTATGAACAAGAATTTTGACATCGGTATCCTTTTTAGTTTATGACGTATAGATTTGCTTCTTTCGATGACCTCGGATTGCAATTAGGACAGTTCTTAATCTTGTGAAGGACAGCTTCTTTCTGATGTTGGTTCATGGTGTCGGCATACGAACTATCGGTCTTTTCACTCATCTTCTCGCCAAGCACAATGAAATCGCTCTGCTTTCTCACTCATCGCGGCACCTGCAGTACACTTTCTTACGGTTTTCATGGGACTTCAGAAGAGTGCTCAGTTTCCGTGTTCGGTTGCTGGGAGCATTGGGATGGGTGAAACGTTTGTCCAGAATTATCTGGAGTGGTGCCCAAAAACCGCGGCAGCCAACATCAAGCTTTGCGTTGTCTTCTAAGTTGCTCCCACTCGCCAAACCTTCATTCCCTGTCAACTGCATTAGTCCGTGCTCGATGCTCACATCTTTGCACACAGCTCGTAGAAAATCTGCTTCAACGCCGCGAACCGAGTTATGACGCAGTTTGACAGAGCCACCTAACTTGCAGGTCAATGCTTGATCAACGTTTAAAAACTATACTCTAAAAGATTATGGTTTTTAGATTACTTGATGCACTATAAAAAAGCGATTGATCTATTTTTCTCAATCTCGAATAAATTTTCAAAGGTAGAACTCATAAACTTCTCAGGTACTTTTTCGCAAAAACAAAAAGTTCTAAAAAAACTTGAACTGTCTAACGTGTTAACATAAAGATTAACATCGTCTAGTTAGTGGTATAAAAAATCTATCCTATTACGAACGACTTAAAGAACTGAATCTATCATCGCTGGAATTCAGAGGGAAAAGAGGGACAATGATAGAAATGTATAAAATCTGCTATGGTTTTTATGACAGGAATGCCACTGCAGGACTATTCGAACGGAATGATAGGGATTCTAGAGGTAACGCATAAACAAATCTAGAAAAGCGAAAAAAAGTCTTCACGATAAAAGCACTTCTCGACTGGAACAATCTGCCTCAGGAAACAGTGCAAAGCAAGACCATTGACGAATTCAAGTGGAAACTGGACAAACATTGGAAAGCGATTGGAATTGACATGTACGAATTCGAACGGAGATAGGAAAAAACATTTGAAATGACCACAAGAGGCACTGCGTAACGGTCATAAAAAACTTGAATTGACTTGACTTGACTATAAGTAGCAGAATTCCTTAATTTAACATAGCACGTTGGAGCGGGAGAGCTAAACTCCCTTCAAGAATTAATTAGCTGACGGAGAATGCTGACCTCTCTACAGCACAACAAAAAGCGAGAACCATTCAGACTAGTCCAAAGTTAAAACGACACTCAAGTAACCGACATACGTGGCATGCCCAACATATCCCGTCGAGGGCCCGGCGAGGCTACTCAACAACACCAACTTGTTAACTACGTCTTTGTTCCGAAAACAATAACTTCCTTTTCCAATAAAACGCTTAAGTGAATGCTGGTTGAAATGGGTTTTGGCTTGAAAGAAAGAAGAATATGTTTTTGAAATATCTGAAATTTTGTTTTTTTAATTCTCTCATTTTTGAATCCTAAGTTATCAGAAAAGTTCTAGAAACTACTCTTTCTTTTTACTCATAGTTTTTGAAAAAAAAATTTTTTGGATTTTTTTTCATTCTTTGTTATCAAGCAAATCCTCCTGTCCATGTGTAGAGAAATTTAGCTCAATATCTAGTTCTTAGTATTTATAGTGCCAATCAATAAAACTGATGCTAAAAGAAATCAGAAATTGATTTAAGTTCTGGAGAGGAGCGCCTTTCAGCTTCAGGGGCAAAATCATTCTCGTCTAGAAATCTAATCCAAATTGAATCTAAGGAACATAAATCTGATTATAATATTAATCAAAAGTGCTATCGGAGTTTTTAATTCTTTTTGTGATTCTATAGCAGAAATATTGCTAAAACAAAATAAATCTAGTCTGCTGAAGGTTTTATGGTTTCAAAAGTTGTTGTGAAGGTGGCAAATAAATTATTGTGTTCATTGCTTGTTTTTCGCTGTTAGTGACAACTATCACTTTTTTATTCTTGGTTATTGATTACGTAGATTGGTAGCTTATTAATGAAGCTTTTAGTAAAACTCGATTTCAGTTTCTTTCACACTTGTCAGAGCAAGTGTCTTGTCATCAGGAAATTGACTTTTTTCCCCGTAAACAACTTCTGAGAAATCTTACAGGCTTTTTGCTGAACTTCTAAAACTTGTAGGTCCGTTTCACTTGGACTAGAGGTAACGCTGCTACTTTTGTATCATTAGGTTTGGGGTTTGAGTCCCGGCCGGACCTTGTTTTTTTCAGTGTGTGGAAAAAAAATTCGGGAAAAATTGAATTGTCGGACTTTCAGTTGTTTTGTCGGCTTATTTGCTATACATCAGGGATTTATTGGGTGCTCTCAAAAATTTTCATTTTAGATGCAAGTGTTTTTGATTTACTCCGGTAATTTGTAAAAATCAATAGCCCTAGCGTTGTATATATATATATATTTTTTTAGTTTTCCTTTCTGTTTTTTGTTAAAGCTTTATTTGGCCTAAATGGTTTCTGCTTATGTTTAATCGGCTTTTTTTTATTTGGTGTAATTTCAAAGGCGAAAATGGTGGATTCTTTTTGAAATTTTCAGGTAGATAGTGTTGGAAGATTTCAAAGTTTTCAGTTTTAGTTGCTCATTTTTTTGCCGTTTTTTGTTTTCGGCTCACTGGAAGTCTACGACTTAGTTACCGCTCTGTTATAACTGAAAGCGTATTTAATACTGGTAGTTGTGTTTCTCAAGTTATTTACATTTTTCCTATTTTCAATTTAAATTTAATTTGTTTTTATGAAGTGTCCTTTTCTGAGGTTCTAAATTGCCATTGACAGGATTTTAGATTTGTAGAAATATATGAATGGCATTTTTGATTTCAATGCCAATAATAATAATACCAAGACTAACACACATTAAATAGTACTTAACTTCGATGCTACAAAAAATCCACAGAAATTTGAATTATCCGAAATTTTGCAATGGAAAAATATCAATAATTTTGCTGCTATTAGCTGAAAGTAAATCTAAAACATAAATATACATATAGTTGAAAACACTGATGGGATAGTTCAGTTGACACCGATGAGTTTTTTTGCATTTCACATGGAGTCATTGAGAGAGACTTGACAGGAGCCCAATCTGTTGATCAAAATTTTGGTTTCATTTCTGAATCTGGGGGAGGTGAATGCGTAGATGACTGGGTTTGCGGGAACGCTGAACCAGAACAGGCCCAGTAGAACTTCCACATTATGCTCCCCGATGTCTTCTAGACCCAAGTCGATGCCCCAAGCATTTAGATCCAAAAGTGCACTGGGAATATAACACACCATGAATGTGAATGTAACGAAGAAAAGAGTGAGTGCTATTTGGACCTGTTTGCGCAAGCTTCGATTGCGTTTCATCTGCATGTATTTCTCGATTTCAGCCAGTGAAGGATTAGAGTTGTCGGGACAGCGGCTAGTGCTGGGTCGGGGGTTCCTGGAAACGTTGGTTACCTCAAACGAAATTGCAGAAGCCGCGGTGTTTGTAGTTGGCGGTGACCCGCATGCTGAAGTTATTGCAACTCCCTCGCCGCAATCAACCAAGTTGGATTGAATTGAGCGATGAGTTGGCGCATTTCGTTTCGAGTTGCCAAGTGTTATGGATAGTCGGGATGTTTTGGAATTGGAGTCGCATTCCTCCATTGCGGGACGATCGGTTTTGCTGTGTGTTTTGTTCAGATGGCTGTAGCGCACGGTCGAAGATGTTGTCTCAGTGTTTTTGCTGGCCACTGCATGACAGGCAACCACGAAAACATTGGTGTAGCTCACTGAAGAAAAATAATTTACTAGCTGTTAATAAATTAACTGTCAGGGATGTCATTTCAATTTCCTATTTTACGGTGGAAGACGGAATATTAAGAGTAAGCTGCGAGCTGCTATTACAAAATGACCTAATGAATTATAGAAATGAAATGAAAAAAGAAGTAAAACATTAGCACAGAAAAACCATCTGACCCAATTTTTGTAATTGGTATGCGAAATCCTCTTAGAGAACGGGATAAGATGCATTGATTTGTTGGTTTTGATGCTTTTACAGTGCTTTTTTAATTGGAAAATGCTCCGAAGAGCAGCTGAATATAATTCCTAACCCCTGTTAAGTAATCCGATCGAAGATGGAAAAGACGGAGCAAATGGTCCCCTGAAATTAAAAAGACTGCCCAATTTAACTTTGCAAGTCATAAATGGTTACGGCTGAATTAATCTTCATTCGAACACACCATCGGATGTGTGAAATATAATCAGACGAAAGAGCAGATTACCGGAGAGGATGTGGTGTTTGTTCTTTTTCTAAACGGCCCCTTTGGCGCCAATATAAGAAGGGAAGCGCGCGCTGGAAAAATGACCTTTTGGCCAAACCTACGAAAAATTCCAAAAATTTTATGTGCAAATGGTTTTTGTTTGGAATTCCATGAGTGCTCAAAATGTTAATCTTTTTTTTTCCAAATCCGCTCGCCCATGTTAATAAGAAAGTATTTGTATTTTGTATTCGAACTGGAATAATGGCTTTGAAGACCAATATCTTAGAACCTTCAGGTTACTTTTTAAATTAAGTGCATAGAAAATCGATTTAGTTAAAAAGGAAAAAATTGGTGAAGTTCATTTCATTATCTTTTCTCGGAGGCTTTTTTTGAGCGCTCAAAAGTATTTACACCTTTAAGGCATAATTTATACCTGAATGAAATATCCTTTCTTAACAACCTAATTGGTTGCTCAAAAAGTTTAATTAAAAACTGGCCATAGTCTTGAAGTTCTGGCATTAATGAAAAGCTAACTTTTGGTTCTGAAATTACTGAGTGTTTACATCATTGAGAAATTAATTTTAAGCCTATTTTCGTTGTTTTTTGGGCATTCTGATTCTAAACTGTTTTTGATTGGGTTGCAAACGTAGACATAAACTGCTCCCATTACCATCATTACTCTTAAAATTTGCAAAAAAAAAACAATAGTTCACACATGTTCAAATCAATCGATGCTTAAACTCTGAAAGCACTTATTTTTGATTAAGTCTTAATCGCGTTTCATGTTCGATACATAATGTGAGAATGAGCGGCTGATGTTTTCTTTTTCCTTGTGTTTTTTTTAAAATCAAAAAGCCTTAAAAAGCGAATAGCATTGTTTCTTGGTTGGTTTAGTCGATAGATTTTTTTTCATTTCAGATAATTGGAGAAGGTACTAACCTATGAATAGGACAGCGAGAATGATAACAGCTGCCGAGTATGCTTTCATCAGTAGTTGGATCTGCCGAGAGTCGTCGATTGTCGTCTCGGTTAGACACGACTTGCTGATAGGAAACGAGCAGAAAGTTCCGAACAGAAAGCAGAATCCTACTAGAAACTTGGCGCGTCTTGCACTCATGATAGTTTTGTAGTCGTGAGGTTTGTTCACTGCAATGAGTCGGTCCAATACTATGCAAATAAATATGGCGAAGCTTGTAGTGACGTAGGCGAAAGATCCTCCTTTGTCAACTACACAGACGATCGCTGATTGGCTGAGAGTGAGTATTTCATATATACTCACTGGCATGTAGCACACAGAAGTAGCAAAGTCGAGACAAGCAAGGGCGAATATGAAGATATCACTGGAATTTGTGAATGTCTTGTTGCCATATACCATAATAACTAATGAGTTGCCCATGGATCCGAAAATGCAATTGAAAACGAGAATAATGACTGAACGCCACATCGAAGGTATTTCTTGCATTATAACTCCTTCTAATGTTTCGTTTGAGAAGTTTTGAGAAGAGTTGTCAAAATGCACCATTTTGAAAGATAATGTAGGTAATTTTTTCAATACTTTTTTTGAGGTTTTTTTAAGCGTTCTGGCGTCAGCTTTCAAAAATGCACTGCAAATAAATAAAAAAGAATAAATTTTTTTGTAATTTTCATATCAATTGATGTTTGTTTAGTTTTAAATATTGATCCCTTTATTTTTTCGAGCACACTAAAAGTAAGTAAACAGCTCTGCTCTTTCTTTCGATCCAACTGTCCAACATTTAATTTGTTTTTTTTTTTGAGATAAAGAAAAAATAAATCTGAATTTGAGGATCGTCGATTCATTCAGTGCTTAGCAAAAAATAAAAACCTGGTTAGCTATGCGCCTATTTTTTCATTGGCTCACTGCTTATTGGTTTTTTTTCAGTGCAACTATCAGTTTTTTATATTCTGTTCCAAATTCGGTCTTTTTGATTGGTAGTTCAATGTCGAATATTTATATTTTTCGAGGTAGACAGGAAATTATCCTGGCAAAGAAAACGAATGGACATTGTTTGAGAGGATGGTAGGTAATCAGAGTTGAGTAATCCACCATTGGAGGAAAGAAATCGAACGAAAACGCTAAAGTTCTTTCGACGATCTTTCTTTCCTTTTGGGGTTAAATGGCAAATGATCCTGTGAAGGGAACGTGAATTATTGTAACTAACTATTTGTTTGATCAATTTGTCGAAATACTTTCTGCTGACTTGCCTAAGTGTATTTTTGCCATTGAGTCTGGTTCAAATAAATTTTGCGCTTTAAACTGAACTGTTGCGCAAATTAATTGCTAAGGGAATCTGTCCTGGCCAAAAAGTAATGCCATTAGATACGAAAATTGTAGTAAAAAATAATGCAATGCAGTTAGAGAAGCTTGACCAAAGGTTAGCCGGAGAATATGCGGTGGTCTTAATTTAATATCGTTTTTAGGATTTGACAGGAAATACGTCTCCAAGTTGTATTTGAACATTAAATATTTATGCATTAAGGAAATCATGTGTATTAATGCATTTGGAGTTAGCTCAGACCAGTGACTGTGAATTTGGCTGGTGAAAGATCGTCGTCTTGTATTATTGTTCCGACCATTTGAAAAATGGGGAGGAACTTTGTATTCGGGTGTTTTAGTTTTTTTCGCTTACTTTCTGTTTTTTACGCAAAATCAGGTATCACGAATAATTATGAGAATTTGTCGAATCTTATATCATATTAAAGACCTTTCAGTCGTATTTTGGACATTAAAATTTTCCTTAAAATGTCCCAGTATCGAGAAAAGCAGTCCAAATTCGAGCGAGCAGGCTTAAAGTAGCGTATTTTTGTTTAACTTAGGCCGCGCAAACGTAGCTTTACGAAAATAAAGTTGTTGTTTTTGGATGGAGTTTTTTAAGCGCCATTTGGGAAGTAAAAACTTCATAAGTTCAAAAATTTTGGCCATTTTTTTGATATTTTTGTTTTTTTTTTGGTCATTTTTCTGCAGAAGTGTTGTCCAATTTGCCGTTTTTGCTATGAATGTCGAATATTCCTAATTTCCAGTTTTTCGCTCAGATACTTTTATCACACGGAAAAAAACGACTCTAATTTGAAAAATAAGTTTCATTTTCTTAGACTATGGTCGGAACATTCTGTGCTAGTTGAACAGTCACCGGCTATCCTTTTTTTTGTATTGCATGCTATTTGTTAATAGTTATTGAACAAAGTAAAAACATTTTTTCAGCCGTGTTTTGTCAGGAAACCAAACCAACCTTGATCACGCTTAATTTTTTTGTGGTTTGATTTTTAATTTACTTTCAAGTTTTTAGTTCAAATGGATTCCTCAAAAAAAGGCGAAACACACTATCGATTAACAAAAGTTCAATTGGCGCAAAAAACTTCAATATCTAATTTTCGAAAGTTGATTCAAGTTTTAGATTTCTCAGACGAATAAATTAATAACCCATATGTCCATATAACCCTTTATTTCGGTTAATCTTATGAAAAAACGGTCAATCATAAAATATTCATTAACTTGAAATCAGCGCTAACGTAATGTATTTTTTTTCGTTATAAAATGTTAATTAATTTTTTTTTCGGTTTCTTCGAGTTCGTTGACACCACTTTTCAAACTTTTTATTGGCTATGTTTGTCTGATAATTGTAAGAAAGAAAGAAAGAATAAATTTCTCCGGTCATTCATTACATAAATTTGGCAATTCATCGTTATAAGTAATTATTAAAATGAGACTCGGAGAGGATAGACAACGGGGCCATATGGCACACAAACGCCTACCCTAGCTATGCATGCTTCTTTCACTATCAGGAAAAGATTTTTTTTTAAATGTTTTTTTTTGAATTTGTTGAAAATTTGTAATTTCATCCATATCTCCTTAGCTACGAGCATTTGGACGGTCAAGTATTGTCATTTTAATCCGAAGCCTATATTATACCTTCGTTAGCAGGCAACCGCGGGTAAAAAGAAAAAAAAACATAATTTGGATTTTTTTTTGATTTTTTTTTGAAATCGTAAAATCGTCCATATCTCCTAAGCTACGAGCATTTGGACGGTCAAGTATTGCAAGTCTAATCAGAAGCCTATATTATACCTACGTAAGCAGGCAACCGCCGGTAAAAAAGAAAAGAAAAACAAAAATTTAAAATTAGATTTTTTTGAAATTTTTTTTTTTAAATCGTAAATCGTCCATATCTCCTAAGCTAGGAAATTCTGTTAGGTCAACTTTTAGCGTTAGAACCTCCATCTTAAGATACACAACATCAGCATGCAACTACGGGTTCAATAAATTTTCTATTTATAATTTGAATTTTTTTTTTTTTTCTTAGTTTTTGAGTATTTTTTTAAAAATCGTAAAATCGTCCATATCTCCTAAACTAAGAGTTTCTGGAAGTTCAAATTTTAGCGTTAGAACTTCAACCCTAAAATACACCCCCGTCAGCATGTAACCACGGGTTCAATAAATTTTTTCTTTTTATAATTTGAATATGTAATCGATTAACTCTTCATTTTGCACCAAAAATACAGTTTTAAATGTATGATAAAATGTTACTAATTCTGTTTTCGAATATCCTCGGGGATTAACTTTTGCGCTGTGAGAAGGTTGAAAAGCTTGGTAGCACGATTTTGAACGGAAAACCGATCGATTTTTTTCTTACATATGGGTTCAGCTAATAGTTTTGTTTTCGACAGTCTCGTGGCCCTTGTTTTCTTTTCAAAGGAGAACAGATTGTTTAAAAAATTTTGAGATAGAGACTTTGTGACAGCACGAAGCACGAACTTGAGTAGTTCGTAAACATGAATTTCAAACACCGATAAGAATTTATCCTCTAGAAAAATATCACGAGAACTATCGCTACGCTTTCGAAAATAGATGAATTTAAGAATTTTCTTTTGCAGTAGAAATAAACATTCAAGCGAACTGTAGCTACAACAACCGTATATCAAAATTCCGTATTGAATGATAGGAACCACATTACTTCTATAGTATTCAAGCAATTAGTTTCGTGGCGCATAATGTCTTAGTTTCGATAAAATCCCGCATTGTTTTCCGAGTCTCATTTTCACCGAATCGATATGACTTCGAAATGATAATTTAATGTCAATATATAAACCTAGATATGTACAAACAGGTTTATTAATCACCTCTGAGCAATTAAGTGTGAATTTTGAATTGGAAGCACTTTTTATGTTCATTTGTATTGTCTTATCATTATTTATAATTAGCTTATTTCCATGTAACCAATGGTCAAGATGACAAAGATCATCTTTAATATCTATAATCTGGCAGCCTATAGCAGTTATATTGGTGTCATCTGCAAATAAGATTACTTCTGCTGTTTTACATGTCACGGGCAAATCATTAATGTATATAAGGAAAAGCAACGGTCCTAAAATCGATCCTTGTGGGACGCCGCATTTTATTTTTTTTCCAATCTGAAGAAACACCATTTACTTCAACTCGTTGTTGACGATCGTTGAGGTAGGACCTAAACCATTTTAAGCAATTGCTTCTAATGCCATATGCATCAAGTTTCGTCAGAAGTATTTCATGATCAAGAGTATCAAAAGCTTTTTTTAAATCAAGGAAAAACTATAAGCCTCCTTAAACGAGTTTTTAAGTCCTATTTTTTCAGTTAGCTCAACAACTGCTTCTATTGTACTTTGTTTTGATCTGAACCCAAATTGCTTGCTATACAACAAAGCGAATTTTTCCATGTATGCGTAGATTCGATTATACATTGTTCTTTCGTATACCTTGCTCCATACAATAAGTAAAGAGATTGGCCGGTAATTATTTTCATCTAATCGGGAATTGTCTTTATGAACAGGAATTACTTTTGCTTTACGCAAAGCAGAAGGAAATATGCCTTTTTCAAATGAAAGGTTGACTAGAAACGACAGAAATGGGGAAGTAACGTTTTTAGATGCTTTCACTATTTGATTGCTAATATAGTCATCCCCGGATGTTGATTTGTTGTCTAATTAACAAATAATATCGTTGATTTCTGATGGCGTTGTTCTGTATAGAAACATTGACCGATTTAATTTAGGTACAGGAGGTGGAGATACATTTGGAATATCTCTTTTCAAGTTTTCACCAATGTTGATGAAAAAATCATTGAATCTATTTGCTACATCTTTTTCAGTTGGATTATCATTTAGTTTTTGGCTTGATTCAAGAATGGGCACTTTAAAACGAGATATAGATTTTCCATTTAGCTCATTAAGTAATTTATATGTTTGTCTTGAGTCACCAATACAATTCTTAAATTTAATCCAATAAAATTTTCGTTTATTCATTTTGACCGCTTGTTCGAATTTTTTTCTTAGATTAGTAAAAGTTTTCAACAAAGTACTATTTTCAGTGTTTTTTTTTTCAGTTTCTGTGGGCTTTGTTCCTCTTTGTTCTAAGATTTTTTAACGCGTTGTTGAACCATGGTGGATGTGGTTTCTTGCTAGGGTTAATTTTCTTGATTGGCGCATATCGGTTTAGCACTTTTTCGCTTCGAATGATAGTTTTAAATCTTCGAGAAAAAAACTCAGCTTTGATTTGTATTTTAGAAAATTGGTATCTCTACAAGTGTATATAGAATCTGAAGAAATTTGTTTTACTGGCCAGATGATTAGGATCGGATAATGATCAGCAATTTCTTCATACTGCATGACTTTCGTTCTAGCATCCGATAAATTCTTATAGATAAAGTGGTCGATACATGTAGATGATGTTGCTGATACGCGAGTCGGTTCTATACCAAAAATTTCAAACCCATTAGAAATGATGCTATTTATGTAGCTAGTTGAAAGCTGATTGTCCAGTAGCGTATTGATGTTAAAATCTCCACATATGAGGACCTTTTCCGATGTTGAATTATTCATTCAAGCTGATTAACGAACTGCAATTTGTTCGTTCTAGGTGGGTTGTAAACAACACCTATTTTCAACCGAAAAAAGTTTTTCTCGACCTCAGCGAAGATCGATTCTTCAAATGGTGTTTCCAGTTGCCTGAGTATCTTCACGTTTTCCTTAACTTGGATCATAACCCCTCCTCCCCTTACATTAGTGCGGTTTTTTACTGAAAAATCATAATATCCATTAACAAGATATCCTTTAGAATTAACATTATCATTAAGCCAAGTTTCACTTAAGCAAATTATATCTGGTGGTGACTCAAGACTTAGTATAAGTGCTTCCAATTTTTCAAAGTGCGGTTTTAGTGACATGGTATTCAAATGCAGAACTGAGAAATCATTATTAGCATCAGATAAATTAGATGACACAGAATTATGGTTAGGTACCAGTTGACTGTTCGACGCGAAAAGCACCTTCTGACATTGTGCCTGGTGTTGGCAAAACATTGTAATTAAGGGCTGGGGTAGTTGGCTTTAAAGCTGCAAGGATATGAGGAACAATTGCATTTATAATTTCACTTGCAATCGATTGAGTTTCTTCCTTCTCAAGGGGAGAAAGATTTATCTTTCGCTTTTTTACGGATCGTCGCATAGGATTGTTCGCTTTTGCTTCGTCATTGGAAGTAGACAGTTTTGGTGTTTCTATAACTGCATGCAATTCGGCTTTGGTTTTCACTTTTACGGGGTTAGGATGTGGATTGTTAGGGTTATTGGCATACACATCTTGTTTGTGAGTATAATCTGGGATACGATTGGCTATCGCTTCTGATCGAATTGCTCTGTCGCGAGGGGATAAGCATTCTTCGATAAACACTGGTTGTCCTTTATTGTTCCGGAAATTTTTCAACCATGATCTGCGCCTCCAAACAACGTCACGATCCGCATGATATATGAATTTCACAATTACAGGCGCATTTGTTCCAGGTTTCAAAGGATGACAGGCGGCAATATTATGTCTGGGAATATTAATCGACATGATGTTACTCATAATTTGCAGGATATCGCCCATTGTGTCTGCTGTGATATCAATGTTGGAGAAAGTCAGGCATAACTTACGAGAGTACTTCTCAAGATCTACTACTCTTTCGGATACATCGTAAATTTCGTTCTGATTTTGTATGATCCTTTTCTCAAATTCCGATTGATCCGCCTTCAAGTTTTTGATCTCTTTGTTTTGCTTGACTACTATATTGACTAACTGTGTAATTACTTCAAGCAATTTTGGATCTTCCGATAGTCCTTGTATTTTCCCCAATAATTCATTTGTTTCGTCTCGTTCGCAAAGGTCAACTTGGTCAAAAATAAGATCATCATCGAAGATAGATTGATTATCATTCATTATCTCAAACTATTTAATAAGTTTATCACAACAATTAGGCTATGTGATGATAAAAAGTTCAAATTTCATTTTTGTTCGCAAATGTGATAAAACCTTGATTAACAAATAATTTTTTACAAGGTATTCTTAAGACAATGTCTGTGCAAGCTTTGAAAATTTATGTTGTTTTTATATTGATTTTTAGTTCGATTGAATTTCATGCACTGCATTGTATCTTAATTTTAGATTAAAGGTATTGAAACGTTTTTTTTTGTTTACGCAGTATAGTTCGTGGCGTATTTTTAATCAAAATTCAGGTTTTGCAAATAAAACTAAGTCAGGTTCGAGCAATATAAAATTGAATTCTAATAGTTGTAATTTCAATTGCAAAAAAAGACCCGCACAGAAATAAAGGGTTTAAATTATAAAAGTTAGGGCTATTTGCAATCGTTAACAAATTGAATTAAGAACTTTTTTTCACGTAAACAATTATTTTAACAAAATCATTTGAAACCTGAGTTTATATCTAACCAAAATTAAGGCAGTATTCTGCACATGCGGTGAAGATGTGATGCAAATGCCTGCAAGAATGCCACGGTAAGTTGTTCGAATCCTGCCAGGACTTAGTTTTTCTAAACGGAATTTTTTGCCGCGTAGCAAAAGTTGTCGTCGGGCTTTTGTTTACCTGCTTATATTTTCTCGTATTAGTTGCCATTGCATGGAATTTGTTTTATATTTGAGCATTTTTTGCTTTTATTGAAACTATTTTCCTTGTGTTCCGTTTGTTTGCAAGTAATTGTGTGACAAGATATTTTGTAATTTTTTTTGAATTTTTGAAACTTTCAATTTTTATTCAAAATTCTCATTTTTTTGTCTTTGCTTTCTTCTTTTATTCAGAAAAAAATAATAAATAGTGGCTTATCAAAAGTAGACTAGATCTTGTATACTTTTGTAACATTTTGATTTTTTTGAAATCACTTTTTCGCTTCAGCTCCGCTTCACCTCAGTGTTAAAAAGTTTTGTCCTCTTTTTAAAAATTTTTGATAGGTTTTGTGCGTAATCATTGCAAATTACAAGGCACAAATGGTGTGGAGAAAACATATCGGACTTATGCGACCTATTAACTTGGCAAATCAGACGAATTTTTCAGCAGTTTTTTTTGTCGCAATTGTTGTGTCACCTCTGTGTAAAGCTTGTTCCTGCCGGGTTTTTACTTGTTTTTGTGAAGTGCGATGAAGTGCAGCTTCGCCTCTTTTTTTACTCAAGTGGTACGAAGCATGACTTCATTCTGTATCAAGTATTAGTCATCATGAAATTAAACCGGAGGGATAGAATCAAACCTTCGCTACTGTATCCTGATGTCTGAAATTCGTGAAATTTAGTGTACAAATGACATATTGTGGTTAATGTGAGCTTGATATTGCTTGTTTTTGCGAAATGGAAATCTCTCAACCTGCTTGCTATTTAAATCATCTACCATACAAACCAGCCCAAAATACTGGCTAGTTTCATAATAACTATTTTAGTGTCAATTAATGGAGTGTAGAGACTTTTATAACTTGTGATGATTTTCGTTTTTTTCAGGAAATGGTCTTAAATTTCGTTCACGCTCAAATTTAATTTTTCGAGGTTTAACATAAAAGAAGGCAAACTCTACTATTGATCAGCAAGAGTGAAAAGTGCGCAAAAAACGTGAACTACCTAAGCTCCGAAAGTGGATCTTAATTCTTAGAATTCCCAGCTGAATAAATTTAACTATTGACCCTGTTTTTTATCAAAAAAATGTCAATCATGAATTGTTTTTGAAATTCGAGAGTTTTACGGGCTTATGTTTTGTGAAATTTGGTAGTCAGTATTTTTTACGTTTCCTTGTGCCCATTGACTTTTTTCTATTGAAAATTAAGCAAATTTCATCGAACCTCTACGGATTCATAAAATCGCTCTTTTTCTTTTCGTTTATACTTCGGCTCGTTTATTCACCCGCTTGCAAATGTGAGTTGATTTTAAGACAAGCAAAATATTGTTGCGACAAAATGTGTTCATTTTGATCAATAACCAGCTATTAAGTACATCCAATGCTAAGGATATTAACACAGACTATTCTGTTTTAAAAACCACTTTAGCTTCAAGGTATCATGGATCTGTAGCGAAGATGTAGGGAAAGCGACCAGCAACAAAATAAGAGGGTTCGAACCTTGGCAGGGTCGGATGCTTTTAATGAATTTTTTCGTATACTAGTTAAAATGCGTCCGCTCTATAAATTGAGGCATGTTAGTTGGTATTTTTTTTCAAACTGGCTGCTGATGCGTCAAAATTGGCTTGCGTCACTTAACAATTATATAGACTCATAATTCTCGTGCATCATCTAAGAAATTTTGTAGACTCAAAGTTTTATTCAATTAGTTTTTCCCAGGCGTTATCGGTCATATTTTTGCTCGTGTATGCGAAGTGCAACTTCGCCTCTGTATAAATACTTGGCTCATGCCAAAGATTGATTTATACTCTGGCTCAGCTAGCTCATTTATGATCAAATAAAACTATGATAATTCAACTAGTATGTCTCGGCATTAGCTCTTTTGTCACTTTACTTAGATAAATTAAAAAATACTCCAATTTATGAAGTGCAGATCTCTTTCGTACATATAACGAATTTTTCGGCTTCGAGGCATGCAATTAAGTTTTGTCGAAAATCTACTTATTAATTGCCCCCCCTTTTTGAAAGTAGATCCTTGCTTTTAATTAAATTCTTTATTTATTGTTTTATGAGATTTTGTCAGCCTAAGATTGTCAAAATTTAATGAAATTACTTTTCATGTTTTTAACTTTCTTGGATTTTTCAAATTACATTTAAAATTGTGTTTTTGATTGCATTGTTTCATTAAGTTTCATTTTTAAACCTGACCCACGATTTTTTTTCAGATAATTCGTACCCCCTTACTGATTTTTAGCGCAAGATACTTTCAATTAGTTTGACCGAAACCTCAAGAAAGCTTCTGCATAATAGTTTCTAGGCTTTTAATTGCTTAGGATTCCGATATTAATAACAAGCCGATGAACGTAGTTCAGTCTTTTATATAGGTCGCTATGATTTTTTTGTTGTTTTCTTTTCAGGAAAAGTTTTAAAATTTGTTCAGGCTCAAGTTTACTTTTTTGCTATGGGACATTTGATTTATTTTTAGTTCATTTCTTTTCCTTTGTTAAAAGGAAGGAAAAGTTCCTTATCGTACCACAAAAATCTGAAGGACACGAAAAAGTGATCGAATTCTAGTTATATATGATTCCCAGCGAAAAGAAAAAAAAACCTATTGATCGAGTTTTCTCAAATTGAGTTAGCTTTATCAAAAAAGTGTCACTAATAAATTGTTCCAGAGTTTCAAGCAGCTTTAAAGCCGTCCTTTTTTTCTTTGAAGTTCGAAAGTCAGTGCTTTTCTGTTTATTTGCGTTCATTGACTCCCCCAACTGTCTGTTGGCTATGTTTTTCTTGCCAGTGAAAGATCCTCGAAATTTGGGTAGCTTCAAAATTTCAAATTTTATCACTGGAATAGAAACTTGTTCTTGTCCTGATTTCTACAGTTGGGTTAAATTAGTCAAGAAGTGTCTATCATGAGTTTTTTCAAGTTCAATTAGGTTTCATGCGAATGAAGTTGTTGTTTTGAGATCGATTTTGCCGTATCGACTCCTGTCTTCATCAAAGCCCCCGTTGATGCGTTTGTTCAACAGCTAAAATTAAATTTAAAATGATTGCTGACGACATTGATTAGGAAGACTCTTTCCGTCGACCACTGACTCTAATTAGACTGCTGATAAGAGACAAACCAGAGTAACCCTTCCTGTCTGGAATTGTAGATGAACAATTACTGATGACAGTATCCTGGCTTAGCTTTAGATACGTCTCTTGATAAACGGCCTTCTTTTTGGTGTGACGCCAAGTTGTCGAAGGCCGTAAAATATATAGGCTTCCCTCTTTGTTTTCAACTATCGCTATTCAATTGAGCCATTTCGCAAGCCTTCAATTTTTGCAAAACTGATCTGCTTTGTTACAAAAATTCGTATATCAAATTTGGCTTAATGAAATTTCATGGCAGAATTCGCGTTATTGGTAAAGTTTTGATTTTTGGTTGCAAAAGCAATAGTTGCGGACGTGCGGGAAAATTGCTGTTTTTGGTCGAAAACTTTAAAAAAAAAAGTGCGCATTAACAGTGTTTTTGCCCTATATTTTCTTAAGCTCGCTTCCAAAATGTTCATTGCATTATGACCATCCTAAATTAGTTTTTTAGCGTTGTGAATTTTAAATGTGGGATGGGGGAGTGGAAATGTGAAGAGCTCGGATTTGTTTTGAAAAACTGCCCCTCCCTCGAACAAGTCCTAGATCTGCGCGTCCATTGATGTCCAGTTAACAATGTTCAACCGATTTTTTTAAACATCAATGAATTATTATTTTTTAAACCAAGTTGGTTAACCAAGTTTGCTTTAAAACAATGATAACAAAAAGTTTTAAAAAACCTCCCATATTTATTGCAAAAGACGCTAGCTTAAGGGCAAAGAACTTAAGGGCAATGTTTTTTTTGGACTTAAACAAAGTGTATTAAATGACCTAAATTGTCGCATATTGTTATTATTGATGTTTACTCGACTCAAAAATTCATTCTCTTAAAAAGCTATTGAATGAGACAAGACTAATTTTTCAAGTAAGGTTGTTTTGTAACGCAATCGGTCAAACCATTTGATTATTAGTTAAGTAGTTATATCAGACCCCCCCCCCCTTTTTAAACCAATTGTTTGAGTCAATTGTTAAACGAATGGTCATATTGGACATTTATTGCGCTTTTGACCTATATTTTCAGTCAGGGATTTTTGGCCTCAATTAAATTGTTGCTCATGTGAAGGTGGTGAATGGGCCAAAGAAAGTTAAGTTTCTAAATCAAATCGATGATTTACTCAGAAACATAGTTAGTAATTAAATTAAAGCAATAACTATCATTTTTGAACCAATAACAACAAATATTGAACCAATAACTAAAAGTATGGCCCATACAATTCTGAAGTAATTTTTTGACATCAGTATTTGTCGTATCAATACCAATTTTTCCTCAGGCACTTCTTGCGTGTCAAAACCTTCTTAAAAAGCCAAAAATGGATTTTTTGAAGCATTGTCTGAGCAGCGGATCTTCTGAAGTTTTCCCGCACCTGAAGTTAACATTAACTTTACAATGTATCCAGTGTGTTCACAAGATAACGCAACGTATGAAGACAATATTGTTTGAAATTAACTGCTAATAATTGCCAATTTTTTTTTTTAATATTGAAATGCTTGATTGAAATTTTTGTAGAGTGGAAGCGGGAGCGAACAATAAGTGAGGCTTTAAAAAGGTCTTTAGTTGCAGAAAGTTTAGTCTAGATCAATTTTTGCGCTCTTTTGCAACTTTCCCGCGACTAGATGCAGTCTAAATGTGTTTGTATGTCAAATTTCGAAAAGATTGGATGATGTATACGCAAGGTTCATTTGGTAAAACCTCAAAGGATGGTACGGTCCTCTTCTACCGTTTGCCCGCCCACCTGCATGTCTCATGTTCTCAATTTTTGTTCACAAGTTTTTTTTGTCATGAAAATTAGCGGCACTTCTACCGTCCCACACTGGCGTTCTTTAAAAAGGTTTAAACTTTATTCACCCGGTCCAATTGTATTATTTGACATAGAAGTTAATTGCACTATTACATTACAATTTGTCCTATGTTCAACTCTTCAAATCAATATTTACACCGTGATTTTATTGTTTATATCTGGTGGGGGAGGGGAAGTGGAAGGGGGCGGGGGCGGGAACGGTAAAAGAGCCAAATTGGCATACGATTTAATTATCCAATTCCACTTGTAATTTGGCTTTTTTCCGTTTCCCACCCCTTCGTATGATTACAAGCTGTTGAAAAATTGTTCATTTTTTTATTTCACTGGGAAATCTGATGATTAAATTCCATTTTCGAAATTAGAATTCGATCATCTTTTTCGCTACCTTTATAAGATTCTGAACTCTTGGCAACTCATCGACTCGTAAAAACTCCTTCAACAAGTTTTTATTTTTATATCCCGTCGGCCTGATATCCGGCATCTCTTTGAATTGTTTCATGCGCTCTTTGAGAATTTTCTTAGTTTTGGTACTTTATATTTGATAATGTCAAACTTTTTGATTTCCAATATTTTCTTTGCCGAAAAATATTCGATACCAATAATTGGGCATTCGGAACATTGAGGGCGTTGCCCTGATATACGAGCAGTCTTGTTGCTTTTCAGAATAACAAAAAAACAATTTAAACGGACGTTTTTATTCAAGTTTCAAACAAGAAATGCAGGAGGGATTTGGAAAAGGGCCCATGTTTTGTCCTCAACGTCGCTAAACCAATAATTACTTATGTAGACACAGCTCTTTTTCACCCACTTTTACCCTCTTTTGATTTTTCTAAAATTCGTTTTGTAGTCTCTTGAATTACTTTTGATGTCCTTGACTTTTGATGGCTTTTTTCTTCTTTCCTCCGTTCTTTGAATTTCAGTTGTGAAATGTTATTTCACGGGTTTTTTTTCCCATTATAGACCCTCCAGTAAAATATCGCCCCTCCAGTAAATAACTCAGACGAAACACCTAAACATGCACAGTGAAATAGAATGTGCTCCTTGAATAATTTTTGCCTTACTAATAACGCTATGCAGCGCTAAATTCAGTACCAGCAAAACATGGATACCATTTTGTATGAATGCCTTAACGAATGAAAGCGCAACAACTGTTTTGAAATCAGTTAAATATTGAAAAACTGGAGGGCTATGATCTTCAACTTCCAAGTTAGAGGGAATACATATAATAATAAGACTGCTCGTATCAGGGCGAAGCCCTGAATGTTCCGTCAGCCTTTTAAGGTTTATGGAGCAGTAATAACATTAAAAAATGAATGTAATAAAACAAAATGAAAAAAAAAAAAAAAATTCTGAAATTTGAACAAAAGTACAAAAGAATAGATTTCGCTGCTTGTAACAATCAATTATGGCGAATAAGCTTATTTCAACCAATTTAGAACGATTTCTAGAACGGATTAAATCTCCGCTTACGCGTTAAAAGCGCGAAATATATCGCGCGTTAATTGTCCCAAATTGGCCAAAATGCCTATCTTTAAACCCCCATAACTTTACGAAAAAGATCACAGGTGAAATATCTTTTCAAATTTAAGCTCAGGACAACAATAGCTTTCGAATGATATAAAAAAGTTCTGTCAAAAATGGCTAGTTAAAAAGTCGAAATTTGTCTGAAGAAAAAAAAACCCACCCCGAGCACAAATATTCCGTTACTTTCGTATCGAAAGTCGGAACAATAAAGACGCTATTTTAGTGTTGTCATAATGCAGGGAGATTCTGCATGTCGGAAAAACGGCTCTTCGAGTTTCCCTCCACATTTGAATGAATACAATACGACAAGTTCGAAAAACTATTTTTAACGTTAACGTCATTGCGATAAAGATTTGCAGTGTGAACAAACCAACTGTGAACAAATTTATTCTTCACACTTTACATCGTAATATTGCGCATTTAGCCATAATAACATTGTAAAAGAACTATAAAAAAAAATAAAGTTTGAAATGTGAGGGGAAAGTGGGATCAAAGTGGGCTAATTTATGCTCTTTTAAAATTTTTATCTTTGATGCTTTACCCAAATTTTTTAATAACAATAATGTGGCATCCGAACATTCACGGCTTTGCCCTGATATGCGAGCACTCAGTCCTGTTGCAGTTGAGACGTATTATAAACATTTTAAACATGCTTTCGTTAATCGAATTTCAGAAAAAATATAGAGATTTTGAAAAGAGCTCATATTTTGTCCTCGTGTACAAAGCCGCTAAATCAAAAACCAGGGTAACCGGTTGCTGTGGAAGTAGCACAAACTGTTCCGACAATTTAAAAAAAACTAACAAAGTTTTCTCAAATTGCGTCGTTTTTGTTTTTGGTGTGATGATAGAAACTGAATGAAAGCCTAAAACTTGGATAGAAAAGTAAATTAGGTACTTTTGTCAATAATTTCCCATTGAAAGTTATCTAAGTTGAAAAATCAAGAAAATTTAAGAATTTTGTCGATAAAGGTTTTTTAATTTTTTGCAGAAAATTTTTTTTTTTTCGTTCTGAAAATTTTATTACCACGAAAACGCTAAAATAGTTTTCAATAACTAATTTCAAATGAGTAAAAAATTAAGTTATACTTATTATAGCTTATAATAACTAACAATAATAAGCCTATTACAAATTAGACGAAAAATATTTATACGCTCGAAATTAGACTTAAATCAAAAACTTCAAAAACTGGTTTTTCTCGTTTCGGGAATTTTTTCAGACGACACATTTTCGAGAATCGACCCATTTTTTGATATTTTTAATGTCCATCGAATCAGGACTGAAAGGGCTTTTACATAATATTTCACGCAGCCCAGTCTGATTTTTTATGATACCTATTTAACGTGAAAAATTAAAGAAATAAAACACACCCGAATGCTATGGTGCTCCCCGTTTTCAATGATCGGAACAATTACATATCAAAACATAGCTCGTTTTTTATTGTAAAAAAATGCTTTTTTTCTACGTATAAATACAAATTTAGACAACTTGGTATTTTAATTTAGCTCTTCTATCGCTGTCTGTCTCACCTTCCCCCATTTCCGAATTTCTATAAGTAACCTCTCCGGAAGAAAAAAGATCCTGTAAAGTTACGAAAGTTAATACTTCATTAACTCCTTTGTTAAAATTCAACAGTCCCCCCACCCCGCACACACACATTGATTTTCACAGAGTCAAAAGAAGCCCAATTCAGATATTCATGAAGAAAATTGGGGCTCTTTTCCCTCCCCCCCCCCCCCCCCCCTCAACCTCGCACGAGCTTCAATATATTAGTGTAACAGGTGGTTTTACGAGGTTGAGTATGAAAACCAAATATGTTTGTCGTGGCCTTATTAGTCTGTATGTAAATTTTCATAACAATCGGACAATGTGGACAACAAATTTACATGTAAAAAGTTGCAGGTGGGGGGAAAAGGAAAAAGAGCCAAAATTGGCATCGGTTTCATGGACAATTAAGAGTTTGTTTCTTGGTAAAGCTAAATGGTAGGGATTGGGCAGTGATCAAATCTATTTAGTTTTTGGAACTTGTATATGTCTGTGTGGCTATTTATCTTGACACTGGAGTTATGACTTTTGACTTCTTGTGAAAACTGGCGGTATTTTTTTAACTTCTCCTTTCATTTTTGCGGTAACGAAGCCAGGAATCATTGTCTAAAAGTCAAAAAATAGCAAAATAAAACCCAACATTTCAAGTGCTGAAAAAAAGACTGTGAAAGAAAGCAAAAATGTCTGAGGCTGAATTGAAGCAGGCTTTCAACGTGTACTGTAACTTTGGTGCAGGTAGTGTGAACAAGAAGACGGAGCTGGAGTCGAGGAACTTCAAGAAGATGGTGGAGACTGCCGGTTTGTTCAAAAAGGGACGATTGGATGGGGCTGAGATGGATATGATCTACACTAGGTGTAAAGGACCATCCAGAAACATCCCGTGGCCAAATTTTCAGCAGAAAGGTTAATAACGCATTGATCTACAAAAAATCGTAAGACCAATTTGAAGAAAATTTTTTGATCCGTTTCTACAATTTATTTAATCGACTAAAGCATTTATTGGCTCTTTTTTCTCTCTCACGCTCACAAGCGATATTTTAATTGTGTAACCTTTGTTGGCTCTTTTCCAGTTTCCCCCTTTCAAATTCAATTTTGAAAAGCTTATTTAACGTTGTCATAATGCAATGAAATTTGGCGTGGTGAACAAAGCAACAATTCTGAACAGATTTGTTCTTCATACTTTACAGCGTAACATCACGCATTTAGCTGTAATAACACGTAAAACAAACATAAAACTCGGTATTTTGAAAGGGGGGAACTGGAAAAGAGCCCCTTTGTTCACTATGATTGTAACGAAATTAGACAATTGGACCAATCATCATAACAGAATATCCAACCTCGCAAAAGCATTGATTACAGCATTAAAATGAGGGTTACGTTAGGTGACAAGAAAAAAAGAGCCAAGTTATCAAAGTTTTAGAATCGAGAGTTCTAAGTTGAAGTTTTCTATGCTCATTCTTGAAGCGACCGAATTGTTTTCACTTTGTTCTTTTAGCTGTTCCTCAACTAGCTCAGGCTTGTTTCGGGAGCGCCAGCGAGGAGAACCAGAAGAAAGTTGTCACGGCCATTGTCACTAAAGCTCCAGGGGTAAGCTGAATGCACGAGAGTTTGACTCAGTCCTTTAATAGCCCTCCAGCATATTATGGCCTCCCTTAATATTTCAAAATCATAGTGGGCGATACGTTTGGGCTCTTTAAGGGAGGCTATGAAATTTTTAAACCAGATTTGAGTTTTCGGCTCTTTTCCAGTTCCCCCCCCCCTTTCAAATTCAATTTTGAAAAGTCTATTTAACGTTGTCATAATGCAATGAAATTTGGCGTGGTGAACAAATCGACAATTCTGAACAAATTTGTTCTTCATACTTTACAGCGTAACATCACGCATTTAGCCGTAATAACTCGTAAAACAAACAAAAAACTCGGTATTTTGAAAGGGGGGAACTGGAAAAGAGCCGAGTTTTCAAAAATCGGCCGTTTCCAGTCCCCTCTTGGTTTCTTCTGAAATACAATAATGAAAATCTATTTAAAATGATTTTCTTTTATAAAACAACGGGGTGGGAAATTGGAAAAGAGTCCAAAAATTGGCTCTTTTCCAGTTTCCCACACCCCTAGTCAAAATAAAGCTGTTTACACAAGCAATGCTTGTGTTATAGTATGAACTATAGCAAATATTGTTGCGACGCAAATATTGTTGCGATGAAATGTGTTGATTTTGAAAGTGTTCATTTTGATCAATAATCAGCTATTAAGTACAACCAATGCTAAAGATTTTAACACAGACTATTAGTGTTCCGACTTTCCTAAGGAAAATAACGGATTATTTGTGCTCGGGGTGTTTTTTTTTTCAAACAAATTTTGGTCAATTTGGGACCAATTAACGCGTAGTATATTTCGCGCTATTAACGAGTAAGACGAGATTTAATCCGTCATAGAAATCGTTCTAAATTGGTTGAAGGAAGCTTATTTGCCATAATTTGTTTGATACTAGGAGAGAAATTTATCACTTTGTACTTAGCGATATATATGGCGTAGCTCTTTTTCCTTCCCCCCAACCTATAAGCGTCATTTTTATGGTGTAACGATGAGTTTTACAAGGATAATCATGAAGAGCAAATATGTTTGTCATTCCTAATTAGTTCGCATGCCAATTTTCATAACATTCGGATAACGTGAACAAAATTTCACTATATAATTTTGCAGGGGGGGAGGAGGAAAAAGAGCCTATGGCGTATGGGGTAATGATTTTTACAAAAAAATCTCAAATTAAAAAAAACTTCATTTTATTTTTATTACATTCAATTTTTTCATCTTATTACTGCTCCATAGACTGCTCTATAAATTGAGGCAGGTTAGTTGGTAAATTTCAAAGTTTTTTTTTTCAAATTGACTGGTATATCTAGATTTATAACCACTGTATGCATCATCATAAATCTTCGATTTCAAGGTTTTCGACTTAAGTTCAGTTCAGTTCATTCTGACCATATAGGCGATTTTTTGTCCCTTTCGATCAGCTCGTGCTGTATTCCCTTTCAATTCTTCGTTTCGAATTTATTGATTCCAGTTTTTCTCCAAAAATTGTGTCCAGTTTATTTTTGAAATCGTTCGTTGTTTTAGAGTTTATGACTTCACTTGGCAATGCGTTCCAGTCTCTTGCTGCTCGAATTGTAGTAATGTTTCCGTACTTCTAGACTGATTTTCTTCAATAAAACTTTACTGTCGTTTGTCCAGGTGTCTCGTTTGTTTAGGTCAAACATTTCTTTCGTCGCTTTCGGGTCATAGCTCTAAGATCTTTTCCACCCCCGCCCCCACACACACATTTGAGTTTGTTTTGAAAAACAAACTTTACGTTGTCATAATGCAATGAAATTTTGCATTGTGGACAAACTAAACTATTGTGAACACGTTCTTTCTTCATACCTTACTTCTTATCATCACGCGTTCAGCAATAATATCACGTAAGACAATTGAAAAAATGAGAAATTTGAAATGTGGGGGAGTGTAAAAGAGCCAAGCTCTGTCATATACTTATTATAACAATAATACCAGCTTGCATATACTTCGTAGAGTTAACGCCGATACCCAATAAGATTATTGGGTATTAACTTTGACTGCTTATTTACCTCAAAAACTTTCCTGAAAAACACCGGTGTTTTTTTAGGTCGATAAATTTGGCCACTTTTACTCTTTTGCACGTTTACCCTTTTGCGGCCGTGGTTGTTTTTCAACCCACCTTGCAGTTTTTATAAATAAAATTACTGTTCACATAGTCTAAATGTAGAAAAGGACGATTGAATAATTAGACGCTCATGTTCACTGATATTTTAAGCCGTTTGCCATTTAATATTTATTTTTTTATCTTTGCAGCTAAACACCAACTTAAACATGTCCAAGGATGACGTAGTGAATCGCTTGACAGACACTAGGGGCTACACAGGAGCTCACAAAGAGAGATTCGACGAATCAGGGAAGGGGAAGGGAATGGATGGTCGAGTGGACAGGGGCCCAAACACTGGTTACGTCCAGGGATACAAAAACCAGAACACTTACCAGAAATGAACCCAACAATGGACACTCTGGCAATTTAGTACGTTCAAGCGGAGCTATGTAATTTAACTACTTACGTAGAATTTTTGGCCAATCAGTTTGTTAATTAATGATTTGATTCATTTTATTATAATAGATTATCTCAACGGCTCTCATAAATTTAGTTTCGTGCCTGGAAGCAGATTAGCTTAAATAAAGGAAGTTTCGATTTCAAAAGGTTTGACTAGGTTGAGCACCGTTAAATGTTTGTATCAGATTTGCCTCCGATGACCTCTCATTTGGTTCGAGCATAATCTGTGCCTGTTAATTTTCAGGCTAGTCGAGGTTTGTTTTACCGCCTTTAGTTGAGTGTCATTCGTAGGAGCTGCGCAGATTTTGTTTCATTTCCAGCTCTAATTTGTTATCTTTGTCAGTAGATTCCGGTATTTGTGAATTGAGATTGTAGTGGTTAATTTTTCGTAGTCTCCTCAGTTAAGCTGGAATTGAATCTCTACCAGGGTTTGCAGAAACGAAAAATCCGTGTAATCCGTGTTTTAGCACTTCTGTTTGCAGGAACTGCTCATATTTTGCTCAGTACACAATAGGAGCTTTGTCATAGTACTTGTTCACTGTTTTCCGATCCAAGTAGATTATTGTTTGAAAGAGGAAACTTTTGCGTGCTCAGTGTGATGTCTTTCTTCAGACATTTAAACTAGTTGACATTTCGACTTTTTAATTAGCCAATTTTGTCGTACCCGGTTTACTGTTTTCTGATTAGCTTGCTAAAAGTCTAAAAGTCTGTTCAAAAAAAGTCTTAAAGTCTGCAGGAAAAGTTTGTTCAACCTCAAATTTGCTTTTTCGCGGCTGAACTTTAAATTTCTTAAGCTCAGCTTATTTCCTTTGATAAAAGAAAGGCAAACTCCACTATCCAACGACAAAAATCAAAAGATAGCGAAAACGTGATCGAACACTAATTCCGAAAATGGAATTTAGCTTGGCTCTTCCTTTTCTCCCACCTGCAAATTTTTGTAAGTAAAATTACTGTTCCCACCAACCGATTGATATGAAAATTGCCATGCAAGCTAATTAGGCCATGAAAAACATATTCGGTCTTCATAAATTACCTTGTAAAAACGCGTATTACACCATAAAATTGATCCTGATGTGAGGTGGGGGGTAGGGGAAGAGAAAGCCTTAAGTTTTCAGTTTTCCCAGCGAACTTTACTCTTTTCTCAAATTGTCAAATTGTGTTATCTATATCAAAAAAGTGCCAAAAATAAATGGTTCCAGAATCTCAAAAAGATTTAAGAGCATTCATTTTTTTTAGAAATTCGGAAAATCACATTTTTCAAAATATGAAGTCAGTATTTTTTCTGTTGCGTTCATTGACTCTTTCCAAATGTCGGTTCGCTGTGATTGCTGTTAAAGGAATTTTCGTCTGATATTTATTAATGTGCAATGTCCTAGGGCCAATTACAAGGAACATTGTTATTTCAGGGATGACTTGAAACTTTTTTTGGCTCAACTGGTGTCGCTCAAAGACTGTCGGCTTTGTTTCCGCTTCGTAAGTTTTTTTCCGTTGCTAGTTTGAAATTCATATGTCTTGATTAGGATGCTTGCATAGAAATCCTCTTTGATAAAAATACGTTTTATAAAGTTGTATGGAATTGGGTTTTTGTTTTGAGACGCTTTAGAATTTTTTTAATTTATTTTCTGCATAAATTTCTACCAATTTGTAAAAACTAGTTTCAATAGAAAGACCGCCTACTCACATGTGTGCCTGCATACTCACCTATTCTATTTTTACCCCTCTCTACAGCCTTCGAAAAAGACTGATGGGGGAATATTTGATCAATATCTTTGATTTTGCTTCGTTTTCTCACAATACCCCAAATCTGAGATTTTGGGTCGAATGAATTGAACGGATTTGAAAAGCTCCACTGCATAAGCGGCTATGACCATTTTTTTCTACACAAACTAACTCGGAAACTAACCTATTAATCTGAGATTGTGGGTTCAATAGAGATAATGGGTAGTGGAAAGATCCCCTTTATGAGCGCACTTAGCTATTTTTTTGCAAGCGACCATGCCCAAGTTTTTTTTGACTTAAATCGGTTTTAATCTTTTGACAGAAAAGATTAGTTTTTGATTTGTTGGTCGGTTTTTTGGAAACTTTTTTGGTAAGTATCCAGCCAAATTTGGTATGAAGGTTTAAATTGAAAATAGGTTGTTGAAAGCATACTTTTACAACTAGTTTTCCCCAACTTTTTTTGTTAAAAATCGGTAGTTCCCGCCAAAAATGGCAAAGTTTTGATTTCTGTTTGGAAACTTTTTGGCTTTTCTCGAAAACTACCTTGCCAATTCTCAGATTAAGTAGTCAATCGAGGAACACGGTGTTGGGAAGTCATCTCTGCCGATGCGGCCTCGACATTTTGCAGAAAAAGTTATGGATTTCGGAAAGAAGAAGTTTTTGAACTTTTGGCCGTTTTTTAGAATTAAAAACAACCCTATTTAAAAACGACCCTATCAAATCTGAGATCAACGTTTCAAACGAAACAACTGTTTTGCTTACAAAAGAAGTGGCGAGTTCTTCTTTTAGGAGAGAAATGTTGTCTTGGAAAAATTTCCAATATTCCAAATATTGGAATTCCAATTTTGTTTTATTCGTCTCGGTTATTTAAGTCGAGAAACAAAGGTTTTGGGCATAGTCATACTTTTTTTATATTGCATCAGTATACGAAATTACAAAAAGTATCAAATAAGTATCAAGCTTTAGCTGGGCTCCTTAGTCAATGTTTATATCGACCTTTTTCATTTTTTTGTTTCCTGTTAGTGTTGTTTCCCTTTTTTTGTTTCCTGTTTTTAAATGTTAGTGTTTATCGCAAGTGGTGCAAAGCTCCGTTTGGTCTCGGTATAAAGCAATGTTTTTAATTATGAACTTCATGACATTTTGAAGAAAATCATGCTTAAATAACATTTTTTCAGCTGGAATTTGTCTACTAATTTGCAAATACCCAGTATATTGCGTCAGTCGAACCTTACAGGCTCTATTTTTTGTTTAATGAGCTTTATCTCCTTTTGATTGAGGGGATGCAACTTTTAAATATCATTTTGATTGAAAATATGGTATCAGTAACTTGTTATGCCTAGCTAGCATCTTTGATATATCTCGGCTTGGGATGATTTTGACTAATTTTTGGAAAACAATGAATGAGATGATTTTGTCTACAATTTTCTAAGCTTTTTGAATGTTTTTTATCTGAATTGATTTTGTCTGGGATGATATTGGCAGGACACAGAAAATTGCCAATTAGGGATAATAATACTTGCGCTCGAACTTTCCATTTTTTTCTCGCGCAGCGTAAGCGGTGAAATAATTCGGCTTAGAAACTGAAATTGAAATGCGGCGTTTTCTTTGTTTCAACATTGCGTGTGGGGGAAAGTTTTTTTTTAATGAAAAATGATTGCCAATTACATCCGACCTCTTAAAAGGCACTCCGGAAATTTCAGAGCTTTGCCTTGCTTGATATGAGTGAGCAGTCTTGTTTTGTTAGTCTCGATTTAATGTTTTTTTTTCCAGCAAAGTCTAGCTCGTGTAATTCAAAGAGCAATTTTTGCTACCCTACGTTTGTTGTAGAAGTATGTGTGCTTACATGCACTCTTTCTTGTTAAGAAAAAGCCGCAACCAATAAAAGCTTAAGGCAGATGGCAATAATATGAGTTCTAGAAATTGTATCATCTCACCCAATCAGTGAAGTATTTTTTGGATAAACCATACAATCCCCCAATCATTTTAGGGGGTTAAATTATGGTTCGTCAGAAAATAACTTCGGGGGCAAAATGAATTGATCTAACTAATAATAAAAAACGATAAATATAAATAATCTTTTGGGTAATGAAACGCATGAAATAGCGATTCCATATTAAAAATGGCAGTATGTTCAAGCAGTATTTTCTGCGCGCGTGCTTGAATAGCTTAGCAGATAACTTCTCGGTAAGGCTCTTGCTTCGTTTTTTCTTAATAAAAAATATTGGAAAATGTTGAATTTATCTTTATAATGGTAGCACTCATTCTTTGTGTGGACTCAGCCGATGTGATTTTCTTCAATATACAATAAGGATATACGAAATATTCAAATATATTGCTTAACTTGAACTCTTCAACTATAGATGCAGAAAGATTCTACTTTGAAGTATATTACATAATTACGCTTGCGATTAGCAAGCAGTCTCAAATCGGAATATAATTTTTTGGGGTTAACAACTTAATTAACAGAATCACTTGGTATCTTGGCTCATAATGAGTTCAAATATCCAAGCGTGTCCGGCACACGTAGTCTAGAGGTAACGACTACGCCTGGGGCGGCAAAGGTCCTGGGTTCGAATCTGACCAGAACCTTTTTTTTCAAACGGGAGATGTTCCGTTTCAAAAAAATTGTCGTTTTATTATTTGCCTGCTTATGCTTTGTCGGCTTAACTGCAACGTGGAACTGCACCGTGGAATTTTTTTGCTGTATACAGTTTTTTTGTAGTTGCTTTTTATTTTTTCATGTTTACTCCTGCAACTTGTAATTCTACTAACCTTGGCTTGAAATTTTTTTTGGCTTTTTTATCGGCTCACTAATCTAATTTTGGGTAGCTAGAGGGAAGACTAATTTGTATGCTTTCTTCCGGATTGTACAAAACGTCAAAAATCTCAAAATAGATTATATAGTTCAATTTTTTCATGACAGCAATTTGTTCTCGCTCGAAAACTGTTTTTGAACTTTCATTAAACGCCGTCGAGTGTGTTTCTGGACGTGTTTTCCGCAAATAGAACATCATTCTGAACATTATTTTTAAAATTTTTTTAAGTTTTTTTTTCTCGAAATTTTCTCCGTTTTCTTTGGACCTAGTTGCTACCTTTCTTATCTGTTAGCTTGCAATGCTATTTTTGTGATATCGCAAGTGATGCAAAGCTCCGCTTCGCTTTTTGGTATGAACTATTCAACTATAGATATAGAACTTTTCTTAGTGATAATGTCAATGACATTACAATGCCTAATTTATACAGAATCAATTTTCGAAAGTAATACGTATGCAGGGGAAGTTTTTTTCAATATCAG